CTTGTGGGAAGCTGGAAGGAGTAGTTGAAACAGTGTCCTTTCTTCTGAAAACTTTCAGTTGTTGTTAAAGATCTTTGAAGATTTAACAGCAAAGGTAATCCTACATTATTGCAGCTAAGAAGGAATATCCAATATGAGTCCTAATTTTATATCTTTGTTTTGGTAGGTGTGTTATTAAATGCTTTATTGCAAGCCATAGAATTCTTCCTGAACAAGGTTTGGTACAGCTTACAAAACAAATCATCTCAAACCTAGGTTCCATTGTCAGCTTGTTATTGGATCAAGTTACATCCACTTATCCATCTGAATATATCAGTAATAAAACTTTTTCCATAAAGGTAAAATAATACACATTTTGGGGTGTAGGACCATACAATAGACATTGCAACCAATCAACTCCATTGTAGCCAAGCATAGCATGAAAGCAAAAGAGTGTGGCTGTGTTCTAATAAAGCTTTATTTGCACAAACAGGCACCAGACCAGTTTTGGCCAATCTCGACAATTAAGGCCTTTCGCTTTTTGTATTTCTTCAGAAAGAATTCCACAGAAAACCCTCAAGTAAGGAAACATAAATGTTATTCAGATTCTGTGGCTTTGAGATCAGGTTTGGGCTGTAACACGCAGAATGTGAAAGCATATAATGTATTTGGATATTGGAAAGGGGCTACTTTTCAAGTACACACAAATAATTCTGATCCAGTATAAGAGCAACTCATAGTCAGGGTCTCTTGAGGCATGTTTTATTCAAACTTCCACTTATTCTATGTTTTATATAAAATATCTACTGTCTTTTAGGCCAGTGTACACTAAGGCACAGATTTACTAAAGATCACCTGCGTGGCAGGAGAGAGAGTATCTTTTTCTTAGAGAATTATATGTTCCCCTGAATGCAAGGACATATGGTCTATTTTTCAAAAGCAAGGGACTGGAAGGCCATAAAAGTACGTTTTCAATCTGTGACATTTTGTAGGCTTAGCTCTAAAAGGACCATTGTCCTTGTGCTGCTCTCATAACCAGTGTAAAGATGAAATAATGACCGTAAATACCCAAACTGTTAAATTATCAGCAATACAGTGGTACAGCAGCAAGCAGGCTTTTGTGTAGTTTTCTTTCTAAAATTAATTCTGAGAGTTATTGTGCTTTGAGCCCATAGTCTACCCCTTAGATCAGTGTCCCTAAATGGCTGCACGTAAGAATCATATATATGTGTTCTTAGAATATACAATTTGGGCCCCGTCCCAGAACTATGAATGAGATAAAATGTAGGCAGGATTTTATTTGCTTCTTTTCAAACTTGGCTGGAGAAAGTGATCAAATCCATTTCACATATTACTTAGAAGTAAATATTACAACTGCCTTTAACGGAGTTCCAGGGCGGAAGTGACCTACACTTCTATAGGAAGTGACCTATAGTTTCAGCCCATATTCTTTCACGTAAGTGTCATCAGCTTCTCTTACATACCTAGGATGGAATTAATCCCTAGGGAAGAAGATCCATAATGCTCATATCCTAATTTAGAGCCTGACACTGCCAACTTTTTCTTTCAAATGCTATTTATTAAATAGAATTTTTAAAATAAACAAACGAACGAAGAAATCAAATACAAAACCCAGGAGAGGGGCTCGGTGTTAAGAATACTGGCTGCTGCTCCTAAGGATCAGGGTTCTATTCCCGGCACACATATGGAGCTCCCAACTGTCTGTAACTCCAGTTCCAGGGAATCTGACACCTCCTCTGGTCTGTCGGGGCAACATTCACACAAGCGATACACACACATACGTACAGGCAAAGCGTATGTACACATAAGATTAAAATTAAGACAAAACAAAAAACCGTGAAGTTACTATACCCGAGCAGATTACATTTAACAGTAAAATGCTGCCTCTCTGGCCTATGACCCTTTCATGTGTTTTTTTTTTCTGACTTTTACTATTTTTATCATCCTTTAAAAGCATTTAAAGATGGCTCTAAGATGGAAAAAAAAAAAAGGCCGCTTGTGCCTTAAAAGATGGAGCAGAAGAGAGGTCAGAAGAATTAATTAGGGTGAAGTTGCAGCAGGAAAAAACAGGTAGGAATAGCAGGTAGAAAGAGCAGGGTTGCTTTTAAAGAGGAAAACAGGTCTCATACTTATTCCCTTTGCCCACAAGTGCATTTTATAAACACATCAATCCAGCCCCTGTGCCCTCTGCAGTTTTGGCAGGGGCATCTGCTTTGGTTTTAATGTCATTTTTTCAAGTTGTGGGTTATTACCAGGAAGACAGTGCAATGGCAGAATAAAAGGCTCCAGGTCCTTCTGAGCTGTTTTCACTTCCAAGCTGCTCAGCCTGGGGCGCAAGTCCACACATATCAGGGCAGCTTCCTTCTCTTCTGATGCACATAAGGTAAGAGAACGAGCCAGTGAATGTGAGCCAGCCAAGGAAACACAAGAATTTCAATCTGGAGAAGCTTTTCTGAGGAGTATGCAGTGTGTACAATTCAAATATAGCATGTAGGTTAAATTGGTGTTTGTATATAAAATAATCTGTGGTTTCTTTTTTAATTCCATATATGATATATGTTGGATTAGAATCACAGGGCTGTTTTATTCCAGGTGTTCTGTGCACTGTGCTCCACAGTGAAAAATAAAATTAAAAACCAAAATCAATTTTCATACTTCATATAGCGTGAAATCGATCCTAGTGCTAGAGGCAATAGGTAACAAAGTAAAAGAATGCAAAAGTAAGCTGGGAAGATGTTTTCAAAGCTGGGGGGAATGTGGGGAAGGGAATTGAATCAGCATCTTCATGACAAATGCTGGTGACATTACACAGTTATCGCTGGTCATCAGGCCCAGCAGCTCCTCCAGCTGTCAGATTCTACTGCTTCAAGCTGCCTTTGCCCTTTCATACTACTTGGAAGCTGCAAAGTAATCCTCCTTACTTTGTGTCAAACTGACCCACGGACATCAATGGGGAAAGGTGATGCAATCCATCTGTTTTACAGCTGGAGAAATTTAAAACTGAAGTGAAGGTGAAATGCACAGATAATCCACGTTGTAGCCACACTAAGTCAGGGGCAACATCAACAGGTGGAGATTAGGGATTTTGGACCTCAGGAACATGCCATCAGGGACACTCGGCTTGACATACAGAATGCTGGGCACGTGGCAGCAAGCGGCGGTCAATCACCTGCTCAGTGTGGGATGAGAGATATGCTAAATATTTTGTGTATCTCCTTTATCCAATCCCTATCTAATGGAGTTTTGATGATGTCACTTCTGTAAAGGCTCTGTAACTTTCGCTTGTTCCCTTGTAATAGAACTAAACACAGCAAAAACTCAGAAAAGTTCGCCAACTTTGTTTTCAGCTCTTGTCAGCGTTCTAGGGCTTACATATTCCCCAATGCTTTTCTTATTTGTAGACAGAGTTCTGCTGGTTTGGATTTCTAAGCCTCTCCTACAGGACAGAGACCAGATTGCTACATTCACGGAGGTCTGCCTTACAAATGCTATTCTCAACACCTGAAAACTATCATTCTTCTCATCATACAGATCTCCACGGCTTCTATTCCCTGAGAGCATCACCAGCCATGTGTGAAGGACGATGAAGGTCAAGTTTCATCCGTCCTTCTCAGAAACACCTTCCCAGCTTCTTTACATCTCCACAAACCAGCAAAGGAATATCACACTGCGTGAAAAGCCAGCTTGCCACTGGCATATTTGGGCACCAGAATCTGACTATTCTTTCCCAAAGGAATGGAGATGGAAAACAGCAATCAATTCAAATTGTTTCTTTTGCCTTTCTTATGAGAAAATAAAAGAAGATAGAAAAGGAAAACCTTTCCATATTTGGAGTTCCACTTCTACAAATTCTACTTTGACAGTTTTTAGTTCTCACATGTGCATTCGAAGTGAACAGTTTTTATTGTCATTATTCCCTGAAGAACGCCCTATGTATAATAACTATTTGTGTTGTGTTTATATTAATATTAGGTATAATAAATGATCTAGAAATGATTCAGAAATATGTGGGAGGGTTACTAGCAAAGACTACCATAATTCATAGAAGAGATTTTGATTTCTGCAGGGAGTCCTGGAACCAGTCCTCTGAGGGCACTGAGGGATGGCTAATTGTGTCTTCATACAAAAAGAAAATGTGACTAGCTTCTGGCGGATGCATAGGCCGCATTGGTGCATCTCCCATAAGCTCAGTGCAGGATAATGAGCCACAAGAGACTAAGGCAGCAGAGGAACAAAGCAACAGAACACAAGAAACGAGAAAGAGACTTGGGCACTCCCATCCATTCTTCCCTCATATCATTATGGTCTATTTCTTCCCGTAAAGACTCAGTTTCCTCTCTTGGAATACAAAGAGACTTCACATTTCTCAGTCTTAGTCGGGTAGTGACAGAGAATCCTGAATACAGAGTTTAGCTGAGACCTATCCTGTTTCACCTGTTGCAGAGGTAGTGTATCTCTTACTCTTTTTGCCCTCTCAACCTCCTTCATCTACTCAATTTCAAATAATTTAACAACTACTTTTTCATCAAATGATAGAAATGAAAATACTTGATGACTAATAGCATGTATAACAAATGTCCTTACCATCTTCATATTTGGAACCATCTGTGAATCTCATTTCAACTGGCTTTGCAAAACAATTTCCAGCACATTCTACTTGCAGTCAAATGAAGTGGCAATTTTCTTAAAATATGGAGCAGTTAGGTGCTAAGCAGGATATGTATTCATACTCATAAACATAAACATTTTTAATGTAGCATTTAAATACGGACTATGTGACTTGGAAATGCTACAGAAATACAAACAGAATAATTTCAAGAATAGAGAGATCTAACTAAAGAAGATTGAGAAAAGGCAATAAAAAGAAACACAGAAACTGAGTGTATGATATTTGCCATGGGTAAGACCTTGTTTTGTGAAACAGTTTGAGAGGAAGAAAATAAGCAGCATAGAGCCTGTTCACGTGCCCCATAATTCTGATTGTTACTCATTGTTCTGACCTTGGTCCCGCAGCTCCAGACCTAGACCACCTCCAAGTCTTTCTTCAACAGTGACGACACTGTAGCCGTGCTGAGCGAGAAGGTGCTGGTGAGCCTGAAGCCCTGCTCTCCTGTAGGAAGGAGGTCGTCGGAGGACAGCCCTTCTATGTCCACTGCCGAAGTGCGTCTCAATCAAGTCTTCAATCTAGAAAGAAAGAAGAAGAAAAGAAAGAAAAGAAAGAAGACATAAAAATCCAAGGTGAAAAAGCAGTTCACTTCCATCGCAGGGCATAGCCAACACACTCCAAGGCCATTCGGAAAGTTATCCTCTAGGAATGAAACACAACAACTCTCTATTCAAAGACATCTCTGGCAAGGACAGAGACAATTGCAGGAAGGCACTGAAGGTGAACTGAGTAGCTGGAACTGTGATGGGAAGGTGGATATGTAAAAACACAGAAGTCCTTCAGGGAAACTGCTGCCTAGAAATACAGGGTAGCTGAAAACATAGGTTAGCAGTAATGACTGTAATGAAAAGAACCCCAGCTACACCTACCTTTTAATCACATTTAGGCAAATATCACAGAGGACACAGGCTCAGAGAGGACAGGACCTGTGCTGTCTAAAAGAGGCAGAGCTGAAAGGCTGTCTGTCAGTCCTGTCTGCGATGGTGACTACTGATCGTCAGCTTGACAGGATCTACAGTCAAAGGACAGACAAACCTCTCGGTGCTTATGCAAGAAGTTGCTATATTGACTCAAGTGCTGTGGAAAGCCCCCCTGCCAAATATGAGAAGCATCATTCTAATGGCTGTGATTTTGAACTATGTATAAAAAGGCGCTGAAAGGCTCTACCCTGCAGGGTACAGAGGCAGATGCTGAGACTCATAGCAAACTTTGGGTGGGGTGCAGGGAATCTTATGAAAGAAGTGGGAGATAGTAAGACCTGGAGAGGACAGGAGATCCACAAGGAAAGCAACAGATCTAAAAAGTTTGGGCACTGGGATCTTTTCTGAAACTGATACTCCAGTCAAGGACCACTCATGGAGATGGCCTAGAACCCCTGCATGGAGGTAGCCTAGGGCAGTTCAGTATCCAAGTGGCCTCCATAGTAATGGGGACAAGGACTGTCTCTGACATGAATTGATTGGCTTGCTCTTTGGTCACCTCCCCCTGAGGGGGGAGCAGCCTTACCAGGCCACAGAATAAGACAATGCAGCCACTCCTGATGAGACCTGATAGACTAGAATCAGAGGGAAGGGGAGGAGAACCTCCCTTATCAGTGGACTGGGGGAGGGGCACAGGTGGGGAAGAGGGAGAGAGGGTAGGACTGGGAGGGAAGGAAGGAGGGACATACAGGGGGGATACAAAGTGAAACAACTGTAATTAATAAAAATAAAAATAATTAAAAAAGAAGGCAAGCTGAGTGTTAGCATTTACTTTCATCTGTGTCCAGTATCTATATACAATATGACCAGCTATTTCATGTTCCTGCTGCTCTGCCTTCCCAACAGTGATGGACTGTATCCCCAAATTGTAAGCCAAAAGAACTGGATCTTATGTGGTATTTTGTTGCAGTGATGACAAAAATGACTAACACTCTGTTGTTACAATAGAGCAAGTTTGAAGGCATCTTCATGAGCCAGAAAGAGTCTGCGCCAAGAAGAGCTGTTGAGAATTAACACTTCAGGGTTCTTCCCACAGAGGCTAATTGCTACCCAAACACATTCTTTTTTCTCACTACAGTGTTTAGGTCATTCCATGGATAAAAGGTGTTTTTTAACACATAAGTAGAAAGTGACAAAAATTTAAATTTATTTATAATGTCTTACTGGCAGGTACTGAGTATTTTTCTGAAACCCAAGAGTAAGTACTGATAAAGTGAAGTTGGCTTATTCTTATTCTTGGTGATGAATGGTCAGGCAAGAGATACAAAAGATGGCGATGGAGAGGTACAGGAAAGGAGGGGAAATCACTTCTAACGACGGCTATCACTGAACTTGTCCACTTTGTGGGTCTGAAGCATAAGATACCCATGCTTTGCACTACTTAAATTTTATTTTACTTTTTCTTACTATTTCCATTCACAGATTAGGTTGATTTCACTTCTTTATTTAAAGAAATTTTTTTTTGTCTGTGTGTGCATATGTGTGCTTATGCATGGTACCTGTGGAGGCCAGGAGAAAGTATCAGGTCTCTGGAGCTGGAGATTCAGAGGATTGAGAGCCACCTGATATGAGTGCTAAGAACTAAACTTTGTTCCTCTGGAAGAGCAGCAGTTGCCACTGAGTAATCTTTCCAACTAAATCTACTTCTTTGTCAAGTGCCAGAAGGTTTTTAGAAGCTGTCTTCCAGTGTTCGTCGCATAACCCAATTATTTCCACACCTGGTTCCCATTTTCCTCTTTATATACTGCTATGCCTTCTATCTACAATGCCTTTACTGTCTTATCAATTCATCAAATTCCAAACACTCTCCAAACATTCAATCACTATCTCTCTTAAAAAATTTTAATTGAACTCTTATATTTTTGGTTGTGAGCCTAGTACTTAATGACTGAGCCATTTTAGCCAACAAATGACTGGCCCAACTTGAGACCCACCCCATGAGAGGGAGCCAACCTCCGACACCATTAATGATACTCTGCTATGCTTTCAGTCAGGAGCTCAGCACTGTTAACTGTCTTCCGAGAGGTTCCACCCAGAAGCAGATCGAAACAGATCCTGAGACCCACAACCAAACATTAGGTAGAGCTCAGGGACTCTTGTGGATGAGTGGAGGAAAGGATTAAGGAACATGGAAGGAGAAAGAATTCCACAAGAAGATCAAGAGAATCAACTAATCTGGGTCCCCTGGGGCTTACAGCAACTGAAGAACCAACCAAGAGCATGTATGGACTGACCTAGGCCCCCTACACATATGTAGCTGATGGGCAGCTTGGTTTTCATGTGGGTCCCCTGGCAATTAGAGCAGGGGCTGTCTCTAACATGACTTGGTTTCCTGCTTTTGGATTGTTTTTCCCTACCCGGGATGCCTCGCTAGGCCTCAGTGGAAAAGGATGCACTTAGTCCTGACGTGATTTGATGTGCTGGGGGCGGGTTAGTGGAGGAGGCTCCTCTTTTCTGAGGAAATGGAAGGGAGGGAAAGAGGGTGGGACTGAGAGGAGAGGAGTAAGGAGGCTGTGATCGGGATGAAAAGTGAATAAATAAATAATTTTTAAAAAAAATATTTAATTGAGATATATGTTTCACTATTGCTGTGATGAAACACCATGACCAAAGTAACATGGGGAGCCAAGGGTTTAGTAAGTCTTACATTTTCATATCACTGTTCATCATGGAAATCAGGACAGGAATTCAAACAGGGAAGGAAGCTGAAGGCAGAAAATGATGCAGAGGCCACGAAGGGGTGCCGAACCCTGGCTTGCTCCTGTTGCAGCCTGTCTCCTATAGAACCCAGGACCAGTAGCTCAGGCATGGTGCCACTCACATCAGTCGCTAATTAAGAAAATGCCCTACAGGCTTGCCTATAGCCCAGTCATATTGGAGGCGTTTCTCGGCTGAGGATTCATCCTTGTGTCAAACTGACAAAAACTATCCATCACTATGAGTTCTTATGAAAGGATTTTACATTTCTCCCCCGCATCAGTTTCTTCTGAGCTAGGCCTACCTAGCTGGTTTACCTCTAGTGAGGATATTTACATCAGTGAACTGTAATGCAGTGTCAAAAATCTTTAAAGATACCATGGAAAGAAGAAATAGACTTAGCTGGGCATGACACACACCCAATTGCAGCACTCAGGAAGTTGAGGCAAGATGATCAAGATCAGTTCAAGACTGGCCAGAGTACACAGGGAGGCTGTCCAAGAAGAGAAAGAAAATGAAGACTCGAGGAAAAGAAAGTGGGAGGGAGGAGGAAGAAGATGATGATACAGAGGAGTACTTACTGACAATTTAGCTGCAAACTATTGCTGTCTGCATTTGCACAGATGAAGCCTGGTGAAGTTGAGAATACGAACTTGTCACCTAGTCTTTCTAGCATTTGCTTTATGACCTTTGACAATATCTTTCTTCTGAGAATTCTGTAAAGGTGAAAGAGTTAAGACTTGTAAAGTATTTAGAGCCATGCTTTCCACATAGCAAGTACTATGTCTGTATTTTTAAAATAATGTATCATACGGACTCAGGAGCCAAGAAAATGTTCTGAATTTGAGCTATGTGTGGAACATACAAGAGTGATGAATGCAGCCAAAAGCAACAGAACATAATCACCTTCTGTACATGGTACTTCGGGAAAAACACATTTAAGCAGTGATTTCTCCATGCTAAAGAACATTGTATTTTATGTTCTAGTTTGCTTCATATTGCTGTAACGAAATGCTGACCAAAAACAACTGGGGGAGGAAAGGATTTATTTGGATTGCATACTATCCAAATAATCCCTAATTAAAGGAACCCACATTAGAAACTCCAGACAGGAACCTAGAGGTAGAAACTCCAAGAGGGACCACGAAGGGACACTGCTAACTTGCTTGTTCTCCATGGCTTGATTGTCTTGCTTTTTATGAAACCCAGAACCACATGACTGGGGTTGACACCGCCCACAGTGGGCTGAGCTCTTCACATCAATCATTAGTCAAGAAAATTTCCCCTCCAGATTTTTTTTTAAAGGCCAGTCTGGTGAAGGCATCATCTTACTCAAATTTCCCTCTCCCCCAATAACTCTAGTTTGTGTCCAGTTGACAACTCACCAGCACAATATTTAAACTCTACAAATTTACCTGAAAACTGGGACATGACTCCTGAGAAAAATTTAATTGAATGATCAACTTGTAAATGGTGTCTGGAACTGAGTATAGGCTGTGTCCTTTGATCCACATGGGATTATAGGGAATGCGTAGCCCTCATTAGGCCAAAGTAAACACAGCCCCGTCTGGGTGAAAGGGGAAGATAGATGCTTCCAAGTATATCGGTGCCACTCAAGCGAAATACAAGGATCCAGAATTTTCCTTCTTGCGCTATTTTTCCCCTAACCACAGGAAGCTCTTCTCCATTTCAGCTGACTCAAGTGCAGAAGGAAACAGAAATGAGCAGAGAGTATCTCAAACTCTTTATTTTCATTTTAAATCTACCACTCCTCATTTTCACTGAACCAACATCAATTTAAGCAGAGCAGTGTAACTGCTACCAGTATATCTTATGCTGGA